TGGGCAGGCCCCAGGAGATGGGCAGATTGCTTTCATGTGCTTCCTCATTGAGGGTGGAGGTCTGGCCAGTCCTCAAGTTGGAGGGGGCCCCTGCTCCCTAGGAGTGGGCATTTATGCTTGTTTTGCCCCCTCCACTCATTTGTTGGTACCTGTTGGGCCAGGGGCCATGCTGGAGAGAGAGCTAGCCTGTCCTCCCTCCCTCTGGGGTCTCCTCGCGGCCTTTTCTCAGACTTCTCATTCCCTCTCCTGTCTCGGCAAGACTCAAGTTTCATGTGTTTATGGCATTAAAAAAATACCTCAATTAAAAACACTTTCTTCTCTAGCTGCTGCCCCATTTTGTACCCCCTGCCCCCAGTTTAACTTCTCTGCCTGATTGTTGGTAGTCACTAACTTTGCTTTCCTGGTGCCCATCTCTCCTCCCCTGCCAGTCAAGCCCGTCTGGTGACCAGGGACGGCTGTGCAGTTGAATCCATGCCCACTGCTGGCTTCTCTGCTTTCCTGGACAGCACTCTGCCCAGCTTTTCCTACTGTCCCCAGGCTGCAGCCTCTGACATCCTGTGTTTCCTCTTCACGCTGAACTTCCCAGCAGCAGAGCTCCTGAGTCCCCTCTCCTGGGTCCCCATGGGATGGTGCAGATGGCTGGTTCTGAGCTGCTTACTGGGGCTGGCAGAGTGAGCACACACCCCGCAGTGGTGTGGAGGAGAGCCCGGGGGACCTGCTTTCATAGAGCTCACAGCCAAGAGAAGCCCGTGGGGCCCTTCTACTCTAACACGGGCTCTCACCAGCTGGAGCCGGCTTGGCAACAGTGGTCTGGTTTGGGGTTCTCTGACCATCCTGACAGCACACCAGACATCCTCTCCTGGTCTTCCCCATCCCATGAATAGCAGCACCGGGAGAATCTCTCAGACCAAGAACCTAGGAGTTGTCTTTGATTCGTCCCATTTCCTTAAGCCCTCCCTCCCAGTCCCGCATCTGATCCATCAGCAAACCCCGCTGGCTTGGTTTCAGCATCACACTGCACATCCATCACCTTCCCCATCTCTGCTGTTCCCGCTCCAGCTGGAGCCCCCATCACCCTGGCTTAGACCACTGCAGGAACTTCCTCCCCCCTCCGTCTTTCTCCCCACACAGCCCTCAGAGAAATGTTCGAAATGCAAATGCTGTCATTTCATTCCTGTGGCCCAGTGGCTCACAGCAACCTTAGAGTAACACCCAGATTCCTGTACCTGCTCGCTGGGCCCCTCCACTTGGGCGTTGCCACCTTGTCCCACCTTCCTGCTGGCCAGTCTCAGCCTCGTCTCCTGTGACTAACTTTCTATCCCCGTCCCCCCCCTCCCCCAGCTCAGTTCCCATCACACCCAGGGCCTGCACTTGCTGTCTCCGGAGCGGAGCGCTCTGCCACCCGACCCAGCTCTGCCGGCTCCTTCTCGAGAAACCAAGTCTCCTGGGGAGGCCTTCCCTGCACAGTCTCCCTCTCGCACATCATCCTTTACCTAGTTCCAATTTTGTTCACTTTGTTTCTCTGCTCCCTGTGTTGTGACTGCCCCTCCCCTGATCGCTCTTGTTCTCACTGGGACCCAGCCCCTGGGAGCTGGCCTGCTGCGCAGTAGGCGCTTTATTGGTCATATTGGGCTAATGCGTGTCATGTGAACAAAGGTGATTTCCTGTGTTCTAGTAAAAACAAAACCAGAGCCGCCTTGGGGCTTGTGCTTACTTTAGGAAGGGAAACTGAGGGCGAGGAGGGAGTGACTCTCTGGAAGGCAGAAAGACTAGAACCCAGGCTCTTTTAAAAAAATCGTTTTATTGGGGGCTCGTACAACTCTTATCACAATCCATCCATCCATCCATTGTGTCAAGCACATTTGTACATTTGTTGCCATCATCATTCTCAAAACATTTTCTTTCTACTTGAGCCCTTGGTATCAGCTCCTCATTTTCCCCTACCCTCCCCGCTCCTTCATGATCCCTTGATAATTTATAAATTATTATTATTTTGTCATGTCTTACACTGTCTGACGTCTTCTTTCACCCACTTTTCTATTGTCCATCCCCCAGGGAGGGGGTTATATGTAGATCTTTGTAATCGGTTCCCCCTCTCTACCTTCCCTTCCCTCCTCCCTCCCTCCTTCCCAGTATCACCACTCTCACCACTGGTCCTGAAGGAATTATCTGTCTTGGATTCCCTGTGTTTCCAGTTCCTATCTGTACCAGTGTACATCCTCTGGTCTAGCTGGATTTTTAAGGTCGAATTGAGATCATGGTAGTGGGGGGCGGGGGGAGGAACCATTTAAGAACTAGAGGAAAGTTATATGTTTCATTGTTGCTACTCTGCACCCTGACTGGCTCATCTCCTCCCCTTGACTCTTGTGTAAGGGGATGTCCAGTTGCCTACAGATGGGCTTTGGGTCCCCACTCCGCACTCCCCCTCATTCACAATGATATGATTTTTTGTTCTTTGATGCCTGATATCTGATCCTATGAACATCTGGTGATCACATGGGCTGGTGCTTCTTCCATGTGGGCTTTATTGCTTCTCAGCTAGATGGCCACTTGTTTACCTTCAAGTCTTTATCTTTCAAACCTTTATCTTTCAAACCAAGATGCTATATCTTTTGATAGCTGGGCACCATCAGCTTTCGTCACCACATTTGCTTATGCACCTGATTTATCTTCAGCAATCGTGTCGGGAAGAGAACCCAGGCTTTTATAGGAGTCTAACACAAGATGCTCTGAAGGGATCTCCTCTCTAGGAAGCACCAAGGGTTCATTTTAGGTGCAATACAATTTATAAACCTTAGGGTTTGATATCATCCCCCCTCCCCCCTTCAGAAACATGTCTCCTTAAAACAAGGCAAACTTGCATGAGACCCTTCAGGAGGGTGAGGCCCAGTGAACGAGGCTGGGCAATGGGAAGGAGTGGAGAGGATAGTATCAGACTGCCAGTGGGAGTTGCTGCCATAACTGGGAGAGGAAGGGACCCTTTCTAGAATCTTCCAAATGTGGGTCCCAGTCAGAACCAGGCTCACCCCACTCACCTTCAGTCTGCCACTCTGCTGCTGAAGCCCTCACGGACCTCTGTGTGAGGTGCAGTCTCCCCACCCCTAACGAACTCCGTACCTTCTCACCTGCTTCTGACCCACTAGAGCAGTGGTTCTCAACCTGTGGGTCAGGACCCCTTTGGGGGTGAGCGACCCTTTCACAGGGGTCACCCGATTCATAACAGTAGCAAAATGACAGTTATGAAGTAGCAACGAAAATAATTTTATGCTTGGGGGGTCACCACAACATGAGGAACTGTATTAAAGGGTCAAGGCATTAGGATGGTTGAGAACCACTGCACTAGACCTACTTAGTCCACCCCTTGGGGGACTGGCCTGCCAAGTTTCTCCCCAGCCCCCGTGACCCCTGTTGAAATCCTGTTTATCTGCTAAGGTCCAGCCCCGGTTCATTGTCTTTCCTGATTGTCTTGGTCTGCAGGAAGCATTATTCTCGTCTGCAGAGCAATCGCTGCCCTGTGGTTGGACCAGCCCCTGGTGTACGTGCAGGTCTCTCCCGGTGGCAGCGAGCCTGCCTGTCTGGTTTGGAGAATACCTGCAGTTGCTGGCCTGGTACTGGTCTGTCACAGCAGCTCAGAGAGTTTTTGCTTTTGGGTTGGGTGGGTGGAAATGGGTCAGAACCCAGGGAGGTGACTGGGTGATAGGCATTTCAGCTGATAGGTGACTGGATGGATAGATGGATGAGGGAAGGGGAGTAGATGGAGGGGGCTGGGTGGGGGTTGGTGCCAGGAATGAAGGCCGACAGGAAGTGGGGTGTGCAGGGACCCCTTGCTGTAGAACAGGTGAAAACTGGTTCTGGAAGGTGAAAGCAGCCAAGAGTGCAAGGGAAGATGATCTTGGAGGCTTTCTGAGGGGTGCGCCTTGTCCTGCGTGTGAGCTCCTCCTCCCAAAGCTGAGCCATGCTGTGGGGAATTGGGCAACTCCGAGGTAGTGTCTCTGTGATCGTTGATTGAGAGATACTATCTGACCATCACGTGGCCAGCGAGAGAAGAAAGCCTGTCAGATCCCTCCGCTGGCTTCAGGCAGAACCCTTCCCACCCACCCACATTCTTACCCCCCTGAGTCCACTCGTTCATGCAGTCTGGATCCCGAGCAAAGCCCAAGCCAGTGGTTTTCATTTGGGGCAGTTTTGCCCTCCAGGGAACATTGGGCAATGCCCAGATGCAGTTTGGGTTGTCATGATTAGGCCGTGTTACTGGCATCTACTGGGTAGAGGCCAGGGATTCTGTTCAACACCCTACCGTGCACAGGCCTGACCAAACAACACAACACAAAAAAACCCAAACAGACCATTGCTATTGAGTGGATTTCAACTCCCAGTGAACCCTATAGGGCAGAAGAGAATGGCCCTATCGGGTTTCTGAGACTAGGTTTTTGTGGAAGCTGACTGCCTCAACTGTCTTGTAAGGAACAGCTGGCGGGTTTGACACCAACTTTCTGGTTCGCAACGGCTGAGCACTTCGCCACTGTGTCACCTGGGCAGCCTCCCCGCAGACATGACTCACCCAGGCGTGCTGAGCTGGAGAAGCCCTGGTCTAACCCAAGTCCCTGCAGCTTTCATAGCAATATCCTAGAAATGTTCTCGTCTGAAATGTTCTCATCGCACTGAAAGAGAAGGAACAGGCGAAAGGAATTTGAACAGTAGATTCCGCTTACTTCAAGACAGCCCAAATATTATCAAGATATTATCATGGCTATGTGAGGTCAACAACAACAGATGACTGTGATATCTGAAGCTCTGTTTTTCCACCTGAAGTCTCAGAAACACAGTGTGGGCTTTATACCTGCCTCGGTCTCAGTCCAGCCTGGCCACATCTCGAGTGCTCAGTAGGCTGTCTGTGCACAGGGCTGCTGGTCAGGGGCTCTTTGGTCTGCTCTGGGAGAGCTGCTCAGCTGCTTGGGCTGCACTGACCCCCCCCCCCATCTCGCCCTCCCTTCTCCTAGCCTGGCCAGGCAGAGGTCCATAGAGGACGAGGAAGAGAGGGAGCGGGAACGCCGCAGGAGGCATCGCAACCTGAGCTCCACCAGTGAAGAGTCTCCCAAGCTCACCCAGAACGGAGACCGGCTCAATGTGGACAGGTGCTGGGGCCAGCCGAGAGGCAGGGGGTCAGTGCACTGCCCTCTCTCAGGTGATGGTGATTGGCTCAGTTGGGCCGTACACATCAAGCTTTAAGCATTTGATCTGCCCAGGGTAGTGAGACCTTGGGAATGAGGCGGAACCGCATGAAGATGAAATTCAAGTGCCTTCCCTTCCCCAGAGTGCTCTGTAGCCCGGCCAGCTTCCACCTTCATCTTCCCCACGAGGGCTACTATTGGTTGAGCCTTCGTCATGAGCTGTATTTTGCCGGGCATTTTATGGACATAGCTCATCTAAATCTTCACAACATCCCTGAGAGAGAGGTATCATTAACCCACTTTACAGATGGGGAAGTGGGTCAAGTGGACTTAGGAAACTTGCTGGGGTCATATGGCTAAAGGAGTGAAGGTGGGGATGGAGGGAAATGTCAGAATTTTCATCCAGACCCATCAGGCTCAGCTGTTAGTGTAAACCAGGCTGCCTCAGTTGCCCCGGACACTCCACACCTGGCTTCTGGGAGGAAGAAGGGAGCAAGGTTTGCCCCCTAGACTTTAGAACGAGGAAGATGGGAAGGCCTGGGGTTACTGAATGCCACCTTTGTGCCAGGCCTGTGCTGGGCAGTGCCACAGGATGAGTGTTTTCATTCTCCTGACAAACCCAATTTGAGGCTCAGACATCCAGGGAACTTGCCCACGTGTTGGCGTGAACCCCAGTTCGCTTTCCTCTGCAGAAGTAGCAGGAAGGGTAGGAGGGTGATCAGGAAAGAAAAGGATCTCTCTCTCTCTCTCTCTGGTGTGCAGTATCCCACTCTTATTTGTCGTGGGAAAATATCTATGAAAAAAACAAAACCCTGCCACTTCAACCATGTCCACACGTGCAACTGAGTGACAGTATTCAAAATGCCGTGCAGCGTCACGCTCCAGTTCCAGACTGTAGTGTCAGCCTACGGAGAGGTTCTCTTGCTGCAGAGTGACATGTGCTGTGGGTTTTGGAGCATCCTCCTGTGCTGCTCTTGTTCCCGTGGGTCCCCCAGAGAAGAAAGAGCAGGACCTGAGTCCCGGGCTGCACCAATACCTCAATACCTGTGGCTGCCACCTAATCCCGGCTCTACCCATGGGGCTCCCAAGGGTGCTGTGTGGGCCTTGGGTGTGACCTTTGGCAACTTGAGTCTGTCCGATCTCCACCCAAGCTCCAAAGGGCAGAGATGGTGCTTATTCCTTTGACCCCATGACGTCCATGCAGGCCCAGCACAATAAGCATAGAAAGAAAACGTTTTTTAAAACGATGGCAACATATGTACAATGGATGTATGTGTGGATTGTGATAAGAGCTGTACAAGCCCCCAGTAAAATGATTTTTAAAAGGATGAGGAGGCTGCAACATGTTCATGGAACTAAAAGATAATGGGATTCCCGCCCCGCTCCCCCCCATTTGTTTTTTCTGAAGTGCCCTCAATAGCTCAGTGGCGTTTGATTCAGACTGGACATGAAACGACTGCAACATTCAAGGTCTTAAGATTTTTTTTTCCAACTTGGAGTGCTTTCTTCCAACACCATCTTGGAGGTCTAATATACAAAGCAGATATTTGTATAACCTTTAGCCATATGACCTCAGTGAGTTACCTGAGTCCACTTGACCCATTGCTCCCAAAGATGGTCCAGGCGCTGACTCCCTGGTGGCCCTGGAAGCATCTCTACTACTGGGTCAGGGACACCGCAGGTCCCCCACCCCCTCTGATACCCTCTGACCTTATCTCCCTCTCTCTGACTCAGACTGCCGAGCGTGGGGGAAGCAGAGGCCCTGACCCCACCACCCCAAGTCTCCAAAGACGAGGACGAGGACTACCAGGCCATCCTCCGCACGAGGCAGGAGCGGCGGCAGCGGCGGCGGGCGGTGGAGTCTGCGCACGCGCACGCGCCCGCCCGGGGTTGGCTGGAGGCGGAGGAGGGCGGAGCCGGCGCCGGCGCCCCGCCCCTCACGCTGCAGGCTCCGGCGGAGGAAGCCGACGCCCCTGCGCGCCGGAGTCGGAGCCGAGAGTCGCGCGGCCTCGGGGCCCGGCAGGACGAGCGCTCCGCCGACGGAGAGCCAGGAGATGGGGGCAAGGGGCTCCCCGAGAAGCCCTCCCTCAGTCCCGAGAAGACGGCCCCGGGGAAGAACGCGGATCCGGAGAAAGGCCCCCTCACAGAGAAGGGCCCTGTCTCAGGGAAGCGCTCCTTGGTTCCCGAGAAGACCCTAGCGTTCGAGAAGCAGTCGGCCTCCGAGAAGACTTCCCTCCCGGAGAAGAGCCCAGTTTCAGGGAAATCCTCCTCGGTTCCCCAGAAGACGTTGGCCTTTGAGAAGAGACTGGGCGTGGAGAAACGCCCCCCCTCAGAGAAGAGCCCCGTCTCCGGGAAGACCTCTGTGTCAGCGAAGGCATTAGCGTTTGAGAGGCGATCCGCCGCAGACAAACCCTCTCCCTCAGAGAAGAGCCCAGTCTCAGAGAAAACCTCCATTCCAGAGAAGACGGCCGCCTTTGAGAGGCGATCCGCCTCAGAGAAGACGTCCAGCCCCGAGGAAGCACCCGTGTCGGAAAAGACAGCTGCCCCAGAGAAAAGACCTGTCTCAGAGAGGAGGCTGGGTTCAGACAGAACCGAGAAGACGCCCACTGCAGGGAAAACCTTCGTGTCAGAGGAGGCCGCGGTCTCCGAGAAGAAATCGGCTCCAGAGAAGACGGGCCCCTTGGAGAAGGCATTGGCCCTGGAGAAATCATCCAGCTCGGAAAGGAGATTGGTGTCGGAGAGAGCATCCATTTTTGAAAAGACCCAGACCTCAGAGAAGACCACAACCCCAGAGACAAAGCCGACCCTCAAGAGGGCAGTAACCTCTGAGCAGCCCCAGACCAGGGAGCAGCTGGCTTCCGCGGGGGTCCAGCCCGCCACCAAGGGGCAAAGAAGGACCCTTTCTGAGAAGAGCCCCCCTCCCTCAGCAGAGCCAAGGGAGCAGGGGGAGCCAAACTCTTCCACTGTGGCTTCCCGCCTCCCAGCCTTCACCTTCCAGGTTGGGAGTCCTTCTGTCCCTCGCCCCTTAGAACCCCCACCCCACAGCCCCTTCTAGTCTCCCTTCTAGTCCTGTCCATATGGTCTGTGGCTCCCTTGTGCCTCCTGTCCCACTTGCAGGCTGGCCTTGAACACGGGCCACTGAAGTAGCTGCTGACAGGACACATCTGGTACCCAGTTCCACATCTGCATCCACACCCTGGCCTCCCAAGACTTGGGAACCGCCAGATCCTTCTAGAAAGTGCTGTTTGGGAGCCTGGCTCAGCTGACTGTGTCCTCACCCCTAGAAGCGGGTGCAAAAGGGGGGGAGACAGAGAGAAAGCTCATTCACACTTTTTCTTGCAGCTGCTGGGTTGAGCCAGGGGTGGGGAGGCCTGGGAAGGTCCCAAACATCCTGTGTGATGGTCTCCCTGCTCTGTCCAGGTGAAAATCCCCAGCAAGGAGGAGGAAGCAGACACAACCTCACCTACCCAGGTCACCTACAGCAGCTCCCTCAAACGATCCAGTTCCAGGACCATCTCCTTTCGGGTGAGAGTCCAGGGCACCTGGTCTTTCCAACCCACTGGATGCCAAGCCAGGGAAAGCACTCCCCATTACCTTACAGGGGTCTTCAGTTAGATAGCAGGAAGCTCATCTGGATAGAGAGGGGCTTTGGATTCCCAAGAGTAGTTACAACTAGAAACCGCAAATCTATTGCTTTTTTTGTGTGTGGATTCTGTGGCATAACCTGTCTTACAGGTTAGAACTATCTCATAAAGTTTCCAAGGCAGTAAGTCATTAGGGAATTCATGGTGGGTTAGAATTGCTGGCCTTTTGGTTGGTGGCCTGGCTCTTTAACCACTGTTCTACCAAGATTTCTCTCAAGAACAGAAAACCCAAACTACCATTGAGTTGATTCTTAGTCATAGTAATCTGCTACGGTAGAGTAAAACAGTTCCTTAGGGTTTCTGAGACTAAGTCTTTATGGGAGAAGACAGTGTCATCTTTCCCCCCTAGGGTGGCTGATGGATTTGAACCGCTGACCTTGTAGTTAAGCAGCACAATGCCTAATCCACAGCACCGGAGGGCTCCTTAACGAACAGAAAATGTTGGATTAAATAGAAGAGGTTAATGACTCAAAGTGACTATGAACAATCTCGAGCAGTGCCACCTAGTGGGAAAGCCCAGCACTGCAAGGAGGAGAAACTAGCTGGGCTGCAGGAGCCCGACTCCTGCTTTCTGGGTTTCTGGGCCCGCCCTTTTGGTACAAATTCTAGGAATTGCTGGGTTTATCTTGCCTTCTTCCAGTGTTTATTCTTAACTCGTTTGTTTACTGGGTCACACACTCATTCATTGGTCAACTGTGTGTGCTAACGTGTATCAGGCCCTGGGGTGGAGGCAGGAGACCTGATCCTAACCAGTGCCTGGTCCTTGCTTGAGTTCTTAGGGGCAGGGAGGAGGCAGACAGGAAGGCAGGTGGTTACAAGTTCCTTGAGATGGCTGGAGAGGCCCAAGCATTGGCCAGGAATTACCCAGACAAGGGAGGAAAGGGCCTTTAATATAGTTTGGCCACATACTTTGGGTCGGGGAGAACAAGAGGCTATATCCTAAGAGCTGTCCCCAACTCTTGCAGAGGACCACTGACTCCTGTGGAGTGACCACTTACCGGTTCCTTTCCTTCTCGTTTCAGATGAGCCCGAGGAAGGACAACTCGGAAATGCCCTTAACCCGCAGGTCAGGGACCTGCAGACTGTGCTGGCTCTGCATATTGTTTATACCCGCTCACCATTTACTGAATACACGCCCTCCATGTGGCAGGCTGGGCCTGAGGGGAGGATGCAGCTTTCTAGGAAGGAGCCTATAGACAGTGCTTGGTGTCGGGGGCCTGAGAATATGCATCTTTAGCAAGCACTCTGTGCCTCCTCATGTTGATCAAGTAATCTGAGGACTATGTTTTAGGGGGAAAATGAAATAGAGCCTGAAAAGCAGGAAGGCTTATGTACTAGGAATTCCATCTACCTATGCTGCGTCCCTCTGCAGTTAGGCCCCGGGATGAAGAAGGCTCAGTTGCTGCCTTCTAGAGTCTCACAGCCTCAGGCAAGAATCAGATCATTAAATGGCCAAGAATGCCCAGCAGGGAGGTACAGGACAGGGATGAAGAGAGGAGGGCTCAGAGCTCAGCAGTAGTTACAACAGTGTAGCTTACAGGTGATGGGGAGGGGGGTCCCACATGACTGGGTGCTCCACAGGGGACCTGAAGAATCAGTGGGTGGTTTCCAGATTGAGAGCTAGATGAATGGCTTCTTAATCAGTGGGAACAGTTTGCGAAGGTGCAGAGTGAGCAAAGTGATGTGTGTGGCTGGCTGGCCCATGGAGGGCTTGAGGTGGGGATGAAGACCTTTGGGCTAAGAGGTAGGGACCCCTTCATGAGAGAGAGCCTTGCTTACAGTGCCAGGGAGTGGGGTTTGAGGCAGCAGGACAGGATGAGATTTCTTGGGTGGGAGCAATCTGGTGACAATGGGGAAGAGCCCTTGGGGAGGTAGGCAGGGAATGAGTTGGGTGACAGTTTACAGAGAAGACAATCAGCATTCAACAATTCATACGTACTCTGCTTCATCTCATTCACTGCAACCCCTTCAATGCAACACTACTCTTGTACCTCCTCCCTGGGCTTCCCACTTCTGTGTCTCCTTGTCATCCAACTCCTCTGAACAGATGCTGCCCCCTTGATCCCCCGTGGTTGGTTGTTCTACAGTGTTGGTACAACACTAATGCTAGTGCTTTCCTTATAGACCTGTCTGTTGTGGGCTTAAAATTGATCCACAGGGTGAGCTCAGTTCCTGACCCAAAGGGTGACTAAGGGTCATCGTCTCATGGGTCCCCCTAGTCTCTAGTAAGCCTGGTCTCTTTCAGGATTTTGATCTTTCCCCTACTTTTTTCTTTCACTTTATATAGGATCTTCTGATTTGATCCCCTTCAGAGCAGTTGGCAGTGGGAGCTGGGCACCATCTAGTTCTTCTGGTCTCAGGGGCATGGAGAATAATATTTGGTGTTCCTTTACTTCCCAAACTAATTTGGCCTACCTTCCCCTTTTCAAAGAAAACAATCTCTCAGGGACTGCTTGACAATTAAAAACGTTTGTACCATATAGGCCGTCATCCGGGATAAAGCATAGAGATCTGCTTTTGCACCCCAGGGGTATTTCCCATTTTGGTAAATACGGCTTTTAGTACATTGTTTTCAGGAGACACTCTGAGGGGAAGCAATAGTGTGGTGGTAGTGTGGGAGGAGAAGGAGACAGGGAGGAGTGAACAATGGCCTGCTCATGCAATGGTTCTAGAGGATGAGGGACATCCCTGGTGTCTAGCTCTTCACCTTGGCCAAGTCATTACATACTACTTGTGGAGGCCGCATTCCCTTTAGCCCAAATAGCAGGGCAGGAATGGTCTCTCTGGGGTGATATCCTCACGAGGCACCCCTTGTTTCCATCTTCCCTTCCTGCAGTGCCAGCGTGAGGCTCCCCTCTAACTCATTCAAGTTAGGAGAGAAACTGGAGAGATACCACACGGCGATACAGGTTTGCATGTGCGCCCGAAGAGCGGAGACGCCTAAGTAGTCTGGTGGGCAGGGTCCCGAGTCAGGTGCTGGTGAGGCTGAGTGCTTTGTGTCTTCTCTGCCCAGAGATCAGAATCGGTCAAGTCCCCAGGCTCCTCGCGCACAGAGTTCTTTGTGGCCCCCGTGGGTGTTGCCAGCAAGCGCCACCTCTTTGAGAAGGGGCTATCCAGCCAGAGTCCAGCAGAACCAGCCTCCAGCAGGAAGGTGAGGGGCTCAGGCCCAGACGGGTCTGCAGATTGTACCTAAGATCTCTCAACCCGGATCCTTGGACCTGCCCAAGCTTGAGAGGCTCACGTTTTCCTCTGTCATGAGGGAAACCTGGCCTTTGATTTGAGTTGCCATTAACTTGTTTCCTATCCCAAGCTGTCTTCGTCTTGACCACAGCCCCCAAGGGAAGGGGAGGGGACTTCCCAGCTCTTTGCTAGATGTGCTAGGTGCACGTGGCATTGAGGTTGGGCCCCCTCTGCCCCAGGACCTCTGAAGATTCCACGCTAATATTAGCAGCCCCAAACTCTGAGATGGAAGCCTCTCTTTTTAGGATAACTTGAGGCTCTCTGGGGTAGTGACGTCAAGACTCAACCTGTGGATCAGCAGGACTCAGGAGTCTGGCGAACTGGACTCCCAGGTAACCGAGCTTGCACCCTGGTGTCTCCCTTGGGCTCTTTGATGGTGGACTGGTTGAGGCCAGAGAAGAGTAGCATCATTTCAGGGGAGGAGATCATGCAGAGGGGCGGAAAATCCATGGCCCTGGGGTCAGAGGGCAGCAGAGAGGAGGAGTGGGCTGGGAACCTTCCAAAAGGGAGCACATCCCAGGAGAGGAGGGAGTTTGGGGGACCCCTGAGTCCCTCCACAGCCCTAAGTACCTGGTGCCACCCTGGGGCCCCCATTCAGGAGGTGCAGAAGGAGGCGGCAGCCACCAGGAGGACCCAGTGGGGGAAGAAGTCAGATACCCCCCTGGATGCTGAGGTGAGGGGAGCAGAGGGAAAAGGGCAACAGGTGGGTGGGGTGGCGGGGGGAGACTTTGTAGCCCACCTGCATGTGCACACTGATCAGGACAACAGCTCAAGACACAGAATGTGTCCCCCACTGACCCCCAGGCCTGTTCTCCCTAGGATTGGCTTGACCCCACGTGGGAAACCTGTTTGAATCCCTCAGCTGCCCTGCGTCCCCTAGTTTGGCAAAGCCCCTGGTTCCTCCAGCCAGCCACATTGGGTCTCAGCCTCAGTCGGGGTGTGGGTCTTATCAAAGGAGTGGGGGGGATGCCTTTCTGTCCAGAGAGACCCTACTTCTCTCAGCCCTAGGGACTCCCTTGGTCTCATACACCTTTGTTTGACAGGTGTGACGAGCTCTGCCCAGATCGACCTGCACGTCTGCATCTCAAGGGCCTGCCACAGGCCAACCTGCCCCTGCAGCAGCATCCCTGCTCCTCACCACCCTTGTCCCCTCCTTCCTGCCTGGGAGACTTGGCCAGCACCCTGTCCGTCCAGCCCTGGACCAGTGCCACCCTGTACCTTCTTGTCCCGCTGCAGGCACAGCCGGTCCCTGAGCTTGCCAGGCTGGGATCCAGTGCCAGCCCCATCAGTATCTTGTTCAGAGTTGTCACCTCCTACCTGCTCACCCTCAGAGCCAGGGCAGGGCCATCTCAGGAAGTCTAGGGTCACCTGCCCCCAGCAGGTACCTGTGTCTTTGTCTCTCCCTCCCTGAAGCCCAGGCCCTCTCACCCATCCTGGGACTACTCCCAGCCCACCAAGGCCAGATGACTACAGGGTGGGGATGGGGCATTCACCATCCAAGCACCCCATCTCCCTGCTGTGTCTTCCCCTGCCCTCCCCAGCCTGCTGCCTGGGCCAGGAGCCCTGTGCCCTCTTATGTACCCCTTGCCCTCTTTGAAGAATCTGTTCTCAGGATGGAGCTGATAAAACTCATGCACTCTCAGGTGTAAATGACTGCTGGTGCCTTAGAAACAGGTCAGGTTCCTCCCTGCTTTTTGCAGGAAGAGGATGGGCTGTATTTGGTGGGTGGTCCCTTTCCTAGTCTCCTCTTGTCATGGTAAGGTGGGCTTCACACCCTGTGGCCAAAGCTTGGCAACTTGAGGCATAAGTCAGCTGCCTCCCTGCCCCCCCTCCTGTCAAGAGTTTAGTCCTCTAGCTCCCCAACATCGCGCCTGCGCTGTGAGCTTGGGGAATGCAGCCGCGTCTAAGAGACTAGGGCGCACCAAACCAGCGTCAGTCTGGTGCTGTCTGAATCATGTAGCGTGGCCATGCTGCAATTTGTGACCCCTCCCCCACCACGCCCACCAAATTTTAATGCTAGAACTCTGCCTTCTCTTTTGACTGCTCTGTGATTCCGCGAACCAGGTTGGGTGGGAGTAGGTTCAGAGCTACAGCCCCAGCCCTGCCTGGTACTCCCAGGCAGTTAGGATCGTTGCTTTGAAGGGCATTGCCAAGGCCCAGCATAGAAGCCGCAGCCCTGGGCAGCCAGTCTCACCCGGCCCTTCTGATTCGGGTCCAGAACTTCTGCTCAGATCATGATTCTTTGGTCCAGGAGACATAGGGTTCGAGAGTCCCCATCTGTGTAGACCACACTGCCTAGTTCCTGGAAGTAACCCTGGGCCTAAGCTGACTGGGCTATTGTTAGCCAGTCTCCTGCTGCTGGCCTCAGGGCCTGCACTGAGCAGAGGTGGGGAGCCCCAGAGCCCCTGTCTTTGTGCCACCCCCACTACCAGAATAAGAGATTTTGGAAGTTCCCCACCCCCACCCCCCAGTTGAGAGTTTGAGGGCCAAGTGAGAGGTAGGGCAGACAAATGGATGGGCACCAGCCAGGCTCTAGAGCAGCAGTTGTCAAACTGTGGGTCATGACCCCTTTGGGGGGTTGAACAACCCTTTCACAGGGGTTACCCTATTCATACCAGTAGCAAAATTACAGATCTGAAGTAGCAACAAAAATAATTTTATGGTTGGGGCTTTTACCACAACATGAGGAACTGTGTTAAAGGGTCTCGGCATTAGGAAGGTTGAGAACCACTGCTCTAGAGACTGGGGTGCGGCCCTGGGGAGGCTGCCTCCCTTCTCCGGGCCCAGGGCTCAGCCAGGTGACCCCGGAGGACCTTTGAGTGCTCATGTCTGAAACGGGAAGTGTTTGCCTGGCACAGCAACCCAGTCACACCACTATGTTACTGAGCAGGGCGGGGTGGGGGCTGGGGGGGACTTCACAATAATTCACGGGGGGAAATCCCATTATCTTTAGTTCCATGAACATGTTGAAACATCCTCGTACTTAATGTACCGGGCCTGCGTGGACATCACGGGGTCAAAGGAAGAAGCACAATCTCTGCCCTTTGGAGCTTGGGTGGAGATCGGATAGGCTCAAGTTGTTGCCAGAGGTCACACCCAAGTCCCAGGCAGCACCCTTGTCAGCCTTGTGGGTAGAGCCGGGAGTAGGTGTCGGCCACAGGTGTTGGTGCAGCCTGGGACTCAGATCCTGCTCTTCCAAACCCAGTAGTCAAAATCTGCCCCACCCCACCCCAGAGTTCTCTTGAGTAGGGAATCAGAAACGTAGAGACCCCAAGAGGGAACCTGGGGGACGGGGCTGACGGATGCTGGCCAGGGAGGTGGATCCTCCATGCTAGCACATGCCCCACCTGGGGTGCCCATGAGGAGAGGCTGCTGGGAGGACACTCAGCCCAAGATTCCCCCCTCTTGTATCCACGTACCCTCCACACGAGGACTCTGCCCTTGTTTCTGTTGGAGGGGTTGGGGGTCGGCAGCTGCATGCTTGATGTCATCGGTTTGGCTCCCACTTCCATCATATCCTGAGCCTTGCAGTGTGCTGGGGATGGGGACTACTGGGCTTCTCCAAAGAACACAGGCAATAGACAGACTGACTGACCTATCTACCTGGAGGGAGAGAAGAAGTGGACAGAAGTGGACAGGAGCCTGTGGGTGGTACAAGTGGTAACGGTGACTGAACGGAAAGGTGGAGGCTCGTGTCCACCCAGAGGGACCTTAGAAGAAAGACCTGTCTACTTCTGAGAATTGAGCCATTGCAAACCTATGGAGCACACAGCTCCACTCAGACACACAGGAGATTTGCTGTGTGTGTGTGTGTGTGTGTGTGTGTGTGTTTGAGGCAAAATTCCTTTTGGGGGAAACCAGCTTTTGATTTGAGACTTTTCAACTGATAGAGTGAGGTCCACCCACGGCGATAACATGTTTAACAGTTATAAATGTTAATCCCAGCTACAAAACAACCTTCACAGCAATACCGAGACTCGTGTTTGACCAAACGAATGGGAGCTACAGCCCACCCAAGCTGACACAAACTTCACTATCACGGGGATTGACGCTGCCCCCACAAGAACCCTGGGCCCTGACCTGTGTGTTTACAGGATGAGGACCTTTAACACTTCATTTTTAAAGCCCATGGGGACTATGCCTTTATATCCCCACACACAACCCAGCTGTCTGTTCAAAGGTGAATCATCTTTCTCTTTTTCTAAGTTCTTTGTATCTGACCACTTGTTAAAATCAGTCCCTTCTGAGGAGGACTTGTCCCATGGCTTGGGGGGTGGGGGTAGGGGTAGTCACAGAGAATACCCACTTTGCAGCTGCCATCACCGGGGCCTGCCCAAGGCTGCTCAGCGTGGCAGAAGCAAAGGCATTCAGGATTTGCTGGGGTCACCAGGGCCTGGAAGACATCTTTATCACAGTTCATTTCAAAGGAAGCTGTAGATAAGCCCTTATCCTCCACGCACCAGAGTCCTGGACCAGAGACTGTGGAGTGGCTTGGAGGTTCCTTCAGTCCCCAGCCCACCCTTCCAGGTCGGGTCTCTGGCATCTGCTTTATCAGGATGCTCAAGTGGGACAGCTGGTTTGTGTTACATGCCTGCTCCCTCCCTATTCTCTGCATATCTGAGCAGCTTTAAATAGCTTATCTGAGCAGCTGGACAACCACATGGGCTTATATGGCGTGGGGGACATGTTCCTTTAGCCCTGTCTCAGCACCTGCCAAAATAGCAGCCGACACCCTGCTCCCCGCCACCACACCCCCGCTTCTCCTGCGACACATTCCTCCCACCACGGGCCTGCTCACGAGGCCCCAGCCCACCTGCCTGCTTAAAGCCCTCTCCACCCCCTGCCCCAGCCCAGTCCCTGTCCAGGCTGAGCAGACACCCCAAGGACCTCTGCTGTGAGGTAAGACTTGGGCACACATCTCTGGGCAGGGGAGAGCAGAGAGTGGTGGGGAAGATGTGAGGGCCCTGGTGCCTGGGACCCTGGCCCAGAGACTGTGTCCACGCTGAGTGGCTACCACAAGTGACAACGCCCCACACTCCCTCCCAGAGGAGGCCTGGGCATCAGGTGGGAAAGCAGGCCACCTTTAGATGCAGTGTGGCAGGGGCCAGGCCACAAGAAGAGTGCAGAGGAGGGGAAAGAACCCGGTGTTGGGCAGTGGAGACTCAGGTTTGAGTCCTGGGTCTGCCACAGATGAGGCTGTTCATGTTACTTTTTCTCCCTGGCCCTCACTCTCCTCATCTGTAGAATGGGCCAGCTGTAAAGATTATGATGCTCTGACCCATAATGGCTGCCCCAAGTGCCTTGATCCAAATCCTCCTCCAGGCAAAG